CAGGTAGAGACAATGAAAAGGTAATATTACCAGTATGTCACTGTACCAGGACCCTCGTGTTACTGTCAGATTCTAGAACCGTGAGAAAGTTAATCTCTTCTGGTTGAGTGATATTTTGTTATGCCCAACACAACACACCAAAGACAGTCATATTCAGAGATAAAAATGGCCATGAACATCAAGTAGGACAAATTAATTCTCATTTCTGAGTTCAAGAACAGTTTCCGAAGGAGAGTAAAAGAAACAGTTTGAATGCTAGCGTCAACAGTAGAAGTGTGCACATCTCTGCAAGATACTTCATTTGATATTAGGTTTTTAAATTTTTATTACATCCGTTGAAATTCTTTAGAAAACATAACAAGTAAAAGACAAAAGAAAAATGCCTATTATACTCTGCTAATATGCTATATTTTAATCCAATCTTTCTGAAAGCTTAATTCTATAGTCTGTATGTGATTGAATTATCAAAGTATGCACTCAGTGGGGATAGGTGAGAATGCCTTCCTCAATCTTTGCTAAAGTGCTGCTTAGCCTGTTAACTGATAATACTTTGATGAAGCAGAGATTAGTAATAAACTATATATGTATACATGCCAATAAAGAATATATTTCACATTTATATACATATCCCAATAATTTCTCGTAGGACCAAAGCCTTCCTGTTAGGTATGGACTATGCTCTCCTTTGTCCCTTTCCCATAAATCCCATACATCTATCATTTCCAATATCATTTTATTTAAGTATGACAAGAGAATGTAGATGATTGGGAAACAATGCTGAGGACAAAATTCTATCGACTTTTGATGTATTTTCTTCTCTAATATTTTACGTTTTTCATGGCCAAAACAAATTTGACAGTACATGGGGTTGCCACTTCTGTAGTCCGTATAAGGGTTGCTCTAACCTTCGTCGAAATGACTATTAACCGTTCATAATAATGGCTATGTGTTTATGATCTAGTCAAGCTGTCCAAGCGGAGTTAACCAGTCATACTGTCCAAAATACGGTGAAGAAAATAGTTCCTGATAAGCATGGGTCTCGTTGTTGTACAGCAGCACCCACGCTCATACTAGCTGTGGGCTTTTTTTCATAGCATTCTGTCTGTTGTTTTAAAGAGGGAAAGGAAAACTTGGTCTGCATAGTGGAATTTGGTCAAGAGAATTTCTACTGGTCTTGCCTATTTAAAACTACTCAGCCACATACACAGCAAAAATATGTGAAGACAGCCCCCAATCCTATTTTGTGTGAAAGTATAATAAATCTGTTAGTTTCCTGTGTATCATTCCATACTTATGTAATTGTATTTATCTCTAGGTTATCCACACCGTGTATACATACTTTACATATGTGTGTATGTTATGTTGTGCCAGGCATCAGACTAAGATCTCATTGTGAATTATCTTGCTTAGTCCTCACGATAATCCTCTGAGATAATTTAAATGCTATCATTTCCATTTCACAGACTGGTAAAGTGAGGCTCAGACAGGTTCACTCATTTTCCCCAAGATCATACAGCGTTTGTTTCCTCATGAGAGGGTTGTCATAGTAACATACACCAATCCAGTTTGATGTTTGGGTCAAGTAAATGCTTATCGAATGCCCATCTAGATATTCAAAATCATAGGTACCTTGGAATGGGTAGATAAATCTGTGAGCTACATTATTTGCCTCCATTCATTTAGTGAATAGAGAAAGATTACAATCCAGATGTATTTAACAAACAGGTTCTGACAACTCTAGGTACAAAGAAAGTTCCGTAACCTGAATTTTAAAACTAAGCATTTGGAATATTATTACCTCCGTGAGATGATGAGTTTGGAACTCCAGAAATCAGTTCTAATGGTTATGACCCAGTAAATTGGACATTATATAACTAAGTTCAGAAACATTTGCTTGAAACAACACAAGGACTAGCGATGTAGCCAGTGGTAGAGCACTTGTCTAACACAAGTGAAACTCTAAGTTTGATCTCTGATACATCACGATTAGAAGTTCTGTTTAGAAGGCAGGCAGTGCTCTACGGCTAGCCAAGGGAGATGAAACCAGGACCAGAATCAGGATTGGAGTCTCCGTTTCTTATATAAGAAGACTGACTGATGGCAGAGGCTTTAGATCTACAAAGGAGCTTGATTAGAATGTCATAGTGTACCGTCTTAAACAAGAGCAGATAATCATACAGAAAATCAGAAGCCCTGAAGGAGAAAACCAAAAAGCTGGATATTAACAGATATTCTGTGAAGGACATACAAACGTTGAAGAATTGGATCCTAAACGGTAGAAAAAAGATTAAAGGTTGCATGTTGAGACAGAACCAAAATCCTCCCTATTATGTAACACATTCCACAAGGCTGGCCAATTTCAACGTACACTAGGAAGGGAAATGCCTGTCCCGAGATGGGGGTGGAGTACTTGAGCCACAGGAGCACCCAGACTCCAACTGCAAAAATGCTAAAGGCTTCGGGAACCATTTGGCAATATTTGCAGAGATGGAAGAATTGGTGGATTATAGTCATAAACATGGTGGGGTCTGAAGGAAAGGGGCCAAAAGAAAGCCTTACTTAAAACCCTTCTGTGACTGTCTTTGTATTTTAGTGAGTGCAGAAGCTTTTAAGTAAACACGTGTATACAAACATACAGAGTATGGCAATGTTGATAGGGAATAGGTACCGTGATGGAAAAATCTGACCAAAAAATGGAGAGAGGTAGGAAGAAGGGAGGGAAGGAGAGAGGGAGGGAGGGAGGAAGGGAAGGCGAGACAGGGTAGAGAGGAAGGGAGTGGGAGGGAGGGAGGGAGGGAGGGAGAGAGAGAGAGAGAGAGAGAGAGAGAGAGAGAGAGAGAGAGAGAGAGAGAGAGAAAAGAAACTGGAGTCCAGAATTTAGTCCTCACGACAGAAACGGTGTTGGAAAAAGTATTGCTGCCATCCTTCTCCCTTTAGAAATTCTTTTTTTTTCCTTCATAATAAAAATCCCGTGGCAGCTCCTTGTCTGGAGGACTTTAAAAATAGGAGCGATTTCATCTGTCTGGAATGGTCTGTGTCAGCACTTGCCCTAGGCAAGGTTGCCACACAGGCCTGAAACACCCCCACTTCCCATCCCCCTGGCCAGCGCTTTCCTCTCCCACTAGACACCCCCATGCCCTTTGCACCCCCACTTCCAGCTCCAGGCCTGACTCCCTTTTCTTGGCCAGTAACTTCAACACGGTCTCCCACATCAAATCACACTCGGCTTCCCTCAGCCTTCTCTCCAGGTGCGAGGGGGTGCAATCTCTTTTGCCCTTTGTGGCCTATCTGAGTTTAAAAATAGGGCCCTGGTTAACCCAAATGAATCTTAAATTGGAGCTCTGTGCAGTGTAACCAGAGGAGGAAAGGGAAGGGGGTGGAACAGCATAGTTTTGGTCAGTGGGGGAAGTGGTGGGGAGGTGGGCTACCTTCCTGGAAGCTATTAAATCCCAGATGTAGACTGTTCAGTGTACCACTGCCTTAGGGTGACCCCTGCTCTCCTAGTTGCTGTTAATTCCATGGCTCAGCGACTTGCAACTCCACTTCCGTGACCCCACACCTGGCTACTTTCTCAGCACGCTGGGCACCCTCCGACTTTGCTTTAGCTAGGGGTTTTCAGCTGCATGGTTTTGTGACGATCAGCCAGGGTCCAATTTTCCCATGGCCATCTTTCCTGCAACAGCGTGACTTGGGTTCGATGATGGTGGCCCTTAAAGCCATACTGAGCTCGATGCGATTTGCACAGAGCTGGTCCTATTCAAAGTGCCGGTTCCCAGAGAAGCCTAAGAAAGTGGCACCGCTTTGGGCTCAGAGTGTGTGGGGGCTTTATGAAGAAATATGTGGGACTTGCGTGAACGGAATATGCTGTATGGAGATTTTGCGGGCAAAGCTGCCAAAATGAAATTTACTCAGAAAATTCATATGATGAATTTGATCAACTTCCGGTTAGGACAGCAACCCCTTAGAAGCCTCTACTGTACATCAAGCTCTGAGCTAGACTTGAGGAGTCACAACGAAAAGAAAGGCTGCTTCTTTTTTTAAAAAAATATTTATTTATTATGTATACAATATTCTGTCTGTGTGTATGCCTGCAGGCCAGAAGATGGCACCAGACCCCATTATAGATGGTTGTGAGCCACCATGTGGTTGCCGGGAATTGAACTCAGGACCTTTGGAAGAGCAGGCAATGCTCTTAACCACTGAGCCATCTCTCCAGCCCCCGAAAGGCTGCTTCTTGATATAGAGGGATTTTTTTTTAAATAAGGGGGAAGGCAGACACGCAGGGTAGGATGTGTCCTGCTTGAGGTAAGCCAGGGTGAATGGGAACTCAGGGAGCATCTGGAAAGCTCTCCTAGGGCAATGCTATCTTAGCTGAGTAGGAGTAAGCCAAACCAAAGAGAGGTGGGAAGGGCAGGAAGGCTGTGGAGAAGGAATGACATGCGCCGAGGCTCAGAGGCATGAAACGACTTGACATGTCAGGAGAGCTGCAGGCAAGCTGTGATCAGTAGAGAGCCAAGCATCCGGGAGATGGGGCAAGAAACACAGCTGGAGAGGCAAGCGGGCAGAGTGAGAGAAAGGAGATGCCATCCCCCCTGGCTGAGCAGTTAAGCTCTTCCCAAAGGAGGACTTGAAGTAGGGCTATGGTAGGGTCAGATTTACATCTTTATTAAACCGTCTGTCGGTTTGGGGGAAATCATTCAAGCTGCCTGCAATAAATGAATTAAGGCTTATTTTTTTATGTGAAGGATAAATGTGCAGATCAGTGACTGCTAAGTGCAAGGTTATCTCTTCCAAAAGGGCTTGGCATTAGTCTGAGGAGTTCTTAGCGATGTGGCTAGAATATCTGTAGGGAGATCTGTCTATATCTGTAAAGTTTCAAACATCTTTTTGCAGTGCGCAGGTCCTCTAAACAGAGAGGCTTGAAGAAAGGAATTGCTTCTCCCCCATATCATGCATTCCATGCTAGGAACTCAAACTGTGCTACAATCTGTTTTGTTTAGCAAAAATCATCCGGAAAGGCACTCTTTAACCTGAGTTGCAGCCACCTTAATCTTTCGGAAAAGGAATATTTTGGATTAGAATTCTGCAGTCATTCTGGAAATAATGTAAGTGGTTTTTGTTTTTTAAACAGGATTTTGTGTGTCTAGAAATGCTTCAAGATGCAGTTTGCACCTAGGTACACAAGGCTCAATCCCGTATTAAAAATGCAAAACCTATTTATACCTTGCAAAATCACTGTATTTAAAACCGACTTCCCTCCCCCTGCTTTGTTTTTTAAGCTATCTTGGTTTGCCAAACAAATTCTTGTGCCTCATGACCCTTTTCTGTTACTCTTTGACCAGCTATCAGAGTCTTATCTATTTTGAATGGTTGGACCTTAGCCCCCAGAATTAAGACTCCTGACCTCTTAATTTAGGGAGATTTCTTTCCCCGTTTCTTGGGCCCTAACTTTCAGAAGGTTCTTCTGCTGCATCTTGCCTTGGCATATCTGTAATCTGACGCCTTCCCAGAAAGGCTCATTCTTAAGTGAGCATGGGCAAGGGGAAAGGCGGGACTCAAATGTGAAGCCAGATGTTTTTATGAGTCCTCATAGCCAGGGATGAGTCTTGCCTCTATCATCCTACCCAGGCAGGGAAGCGGTGATTGAATTGTCACCAATGCAGTGTTCACTGTCACTGGGAACTACGTGAGAATGGGGAAGGTATATCATCTCATTGACATGACTGTTTGTTACCAACTATTTCTGGAAATCTAAATCGTCCCCGGGTTTGTTCATTTGATGTTGACCTTTATGTGGTACAAAAAAAAAAAAAAAAAAAANAAAAAAAAAAAAAAAAAAAAAAAAAAAAAAAAAAAAAAAGAAAGAAAGAAAGAAAGAAAAAAAGCTCTGTCACTGCGGCTGTGTTCTACCAATTGTTTCACTGATGTTATTGCAGGTTTGGCTGGAACTGCTGAAGCCCATAACAAAGCAAGTAAAAAGTAAGTATAGAAGATCACTCAAGGAATGTCGTCCTCAGCTCACACTGGAAAAGTGATTCTATAGCCCCACACAATTCCTCACCCTACTGAAATGGGGAAGAGGGCTTTAGACAGGTTGCCTCAGCCCCTCATCTGTACAGTAAGTTTAGCAATATAGAAAATTGCCTTAGTTTAGTCTGAGCTGAAGAAGCTCGTGTGGCAGGTCTTGGAGTACATCTGAAGGGTTCTGGTAATTACGCCACCTGCGGATGGCGCGTGGGCGCGTATCTCACAGGGCGCCCTGTGAAGCCTGAAGCATCCTTAGTGTCAATCTCTGAGAATGTTCACCTTCTGCCTGAAAATTCTTTCCTTTCCTGCCATCGCCAGCCTTGCCATTTGCTTCAGTTTATGTTCAGATGATTCCTGTATCTCACACGGCACCTCATTTGCGGGACAAGGGCTCAGGGGCATGGCCGTTTAACTAACTGCACAGGCATTTTTCCTTTTGCAAGTGGATCTTAACACTTTGGGAAACCTTGCTTCAGTCTCTTCCTGGTTCCTTGGTCCACTCTGCTCTTCACACATTGATGCCTCCTGTGACTCTACTTCCCCCAATTCTGTGATGTATGTCACCCAATTCCAGTAGCTTCTGAACTGATTTTTCTCCAATTAAAGCATCTATATCACCCTTCAAGGGATCAACTGAAATATATAATCCTGACCACACCACATCTCCCTTCTGCTTAAAATGCTTCCCTGGCTCCCTAATTACCTCTGAAGTTCAATCTTTTTAACATGGTATGCAAAGCTCTAGACCCTATAGTAAGCGATTTGTCCCTGCCACTTGGCATTTCAATTCCTGCCTCTGCTAACGTACTTAGCTGTCAGTTCCTCCAGGAAGGCTTCCTCAACCTAGGCTGTGTGGTACTCAAATTGGTCTGTTTAATTATTTGTCTCTCCAACAAGACTGGGAGCACTTGAGTATCTTTTAATTTCCACAGTATCTGCTTAGAATAATATCCCCGCAGTGAAGAGCACCAGAAATGATGTATTGAATGGACGACACTTGTGTTCCTTCTTGTGTGCGGTTACTTTCGATCTAACAAACTTTATTCTTTTTCTTCTGGTGCTGGGGATGGAACCCTGGACCTTGTATATGCTAGCAAAGTATCCTACCAGTGAGCTCCACCCCAACCTCAAGTTTCTCATTTTCAAATGCAAGTAGGTGTGAACATGTGCAAATGTGGTTTCTCAGGGGTATATTTTAAGATTGATAGAGACACTGGCCCACATTGTTTCTTCTTCTTTTTATGAAACCCTTAGGACATCCACTCATGTGCTTGAGCTGAACCTGGGTCCTTTTCTCATGCGTGGCTGGACATTCACAGACAGTGAGCTGTAAATAGTCTTCTGAATAACTCACTTCTTAAGAAAAGACAGAGTAGGCCCCCAGTGGACATATCTTTACAAAAGAAACACGAAGGGAGAAAGGGTGTGAAGGGGGGCTGATTGGGAGGACGGACTCAACTGCTGTGCACATGGGGTCACAATCCAGAAATGAAAACAGCATACATGTAAAAACCCAAAATGTAAAGTAGTCTATGGGAAGGGGTAATGGAGAGGGGAGGGAAGTAGAACACTGTGTGTGTGTGCATGAGTGTGTGTGTGTGTGCGCATGAGTGTGTGTGCGCATGAGTGTGTGTATGCATGAGTGTGTGTGTGCATGAGTGTGTGTGTGTGCATGTGTGTGGGTGTGTGCGTGCCTATGTGTGTGTGTGTGTGTGTGTGTGTGTGTGGGAGAGAGAGAGAGAGAGAGAGAGAGAGAGAGAGAGAGAGAGAGAGAG